GAGTTGTTGTTTGAATTGGATTCGAGTTGGTGAATGTTTCAGTGTCATACTGTACATCGTCATCAGCGCTTCACAAGTAAGTGATATTCTTCCATCTCTGCAATGTAGCACTTTCTATATATACATGAAAATTGGTGAATATCATTACAGGTCACATTTGACAGTCATTCATATTGTAGTTTTAGAGGTTTCGACGGTACCAACCTTTATATCAAAAATATGCTGTTTAGTTCTGCTTCTAAGCTTTACTAGCGATTTGCCCTCTGTCATGTACCAGTTACTGAAATATAAATCTTTCCTCCGGTCCATATGCTCCACTTTTGAAGCACACTTCTTTATCATACTTTCTTAAGAATCGTTTGAGATAATCATTTCACCGAAGACATCTCTTGATTAGTACAAACTTCTTGAATGTATGAATGGGTCTTAACCTTCTACATTTGATTTAGAGTGCTAGCATGTAACTCCAACTAAGCATTATGGAAGTTAAGGTACTATTCACAAAAAAATTAATTTCACATCAATACATTTCTGGCATGTTCAACTTTAACGCAGAGCAAGATATGAATTCAGCACGGTATCCATGTCATACATTTTCTCTTACATCATAAATTCCCACTGATTTCAGTAGCTTTAGGCATTTCAATAAAATTTTATTGTATGACATATACTGGTACATACAATCAAAAGTATTATCCACATGCACCGTGTACAGTATTGGTTCAGTAACCAGAAGGGAACAAAGTTGGCAAGGTTTTCATTTTGATTGCTGTCTATTAACCAGTAAAAACAGAAATTCATAAGCGTGTTGAGGATAACCAGTGAACAATATGATTCACCTATATTGTAAGCCATAGACATGGCTATTGAAAGTGGAGGATATAAAAAGGCTTCAGGTGTTTGACCACCGTTGCCTTCGTAGTATAGGACGTATTCCGTGGTGTCACCACATGAGTAATGCAGAAGTTAGGTGTAGAGTTTTGGGGAGAAGAGATAAGTCAGTCGACGAGGTTGTGAACCTTCATCGACTGAGATGGCTGGTTGGGACACGTACTACGTATGCCTAGTCACGATTGCCTCGTCACACAATGTTGGCTGAGGTGGGTCCAGGCTGGAAAAAGGCCCGAGGTGGCCAGACTAAAACATGGCATCATTGTATGAAGTCTCTGACTGTTGGTTTAAGCCATGTAGGACGATGCAGACTAGGTGGTTGGGGTCCACGGGACAAGAGGAACCAGTGGTTGGAGACCCTAGGTGATATGGCTCAGAACCGAAGTCAGTGGCGCAGATGTATACACACATTATCCTCATCTTAACAACACTATACCGAATCTCACCATTTTGTCACTCCTCTTTCTTTTCTTTTCGTACTTTATATTTCTTTTGACTGCATTCACTTATCTTCATCCTTCACCTCACTACCTTTTACTTGATGTGCTGATATGAGGTGTGGCAACTCGGACCGTTACGCAGTAATGCCTGGTCTTATGTTGATAATGATGATGATGATAAGCCATAGATACCACAATAATACAGAGGTGAAGAAGTGATCTTTGTAGTAGAAAGAAGGTTGTGGTTAACTCTCAACAGTGTTAGTTATACGATTTGTGGAGATTGTCTGTCGGCACACATCTTTTTCAATTCTGAGTCCTGATTCCAACTTATTGAGTTTAACCCACACGTGACCTTCCATTCCCACAGCCCACCACATCACATCTTCAATGTCAAAAAAGTGTCGTTCCGATCCTCTGTAAAACTATTTTTAACAATCGTTTCAGTCAGGTTCGTTTTCCGTATCAGATATGTGCTTCAAAGGATAATTTTTCAGCTGTAGATGAACACCTCCTTTCTTAATTTTGAAGTGTGGTTGTATTCATTGACTTTTTAAAAGTTTGTCAGCTGGAAAAGTTACTTCCCGTCTGCATGAATTGAATGGATCGTTCTCCGTTGGCTTGCAGCTTCTCTGCAGATGGCCTGGTGTATGAAGGTTATGAGAAGACAGAGACGAAGAAAGAAAGACTCATTACTAACACGTGGTACAGTAGTCGTTAAATATGGTACACCTTGCACTAAGACAGTCACCTGCAAAATGCGTTTCATTTTCTTTTCTGTTTCTCTCTTGAGTTGCTCTTAATAAGTCCGCGTTGTCTCTTGCGTTTCTCCCGGCAGAATCCTCTCCCATTGTTGGTAATTCCCTATGATTTCTTCCGCCCTCTTAATATATACTACTTATATCCATTCTTATTAGCAACGTCCACTACAGCATGACCAATCAACTTCATTTGAACATATTTATGATGTAAACCTATGGTGCGGATACACACAGCTGACAAGTGCTAAATAGGGCGAAACGCACATTCAAAATCCCATAGCTAGGGAATATTTATCCCTGTTATTTGACTTGTAGGCAGCTGAAGAGAGGAAGTAGTCAACAAATTCGTAACATTCTGCAAAATCGAATCCCTTTCATTTCAATGAAAGTTCTAGAAGGGTTCAAGTAAGTGCAACCCGTTAATGTGGTTAAGTATCTTCATTGGATGCCTGTAGAAGGGCTTGTATTTCCAAAGATGGATTAAATCATCCGATTGTGTGTTGAAAATTCAAATACAGTTCTATCCTGTTTACACAGAAACAAAATAGTGAAGTATCTTGTCAGTCTGCAACCACACGCCATTCATCCCACTTTCCATACCGGAATTAAAAGTAATTTTGATTAATGGGAGGTTTTGTGAGGATTTATTTGATGAATAACAACAAGAAATCAATATGTTAAAATATTTTAATAAGATGAGGTGTGGACTGAAATATTTCGATGACCTTGACTTAATGGGAGCAGAATAGATGGAAACATTTCCAAGTTTAGCGGGAGAGAAATATGTATGCAAATTAAAAATTTATTTTCGTAAATCACACAACGAATGAAATGAATTCAGCAAAATCAATTGTTCGTGTCTGAGACAAAATGAAAGCAGCAAAAAGATTAACAAACACCTCAAGGTCATCAGAATATGTCCTTTAGTATTGATCATTCATAGTAAAATGATCAAAGTAACCAATGAAAATTAACTTGACAGTTTATTGGATGTGCATGATTGGTTGAACATTTTGTTTCCCTATATTTACATCCACCATATTAGCTGGAGCAAAGCTTATCCCAAAAGTTAATCAAAAACGGAGTGAATTATTTATTTCACCAGGTGTAAGTATCAATCTTGACGCGAGTGGAGTTTGAAGTCTCCAACTGTTCATTGGACACACAACACTGCACAATCCAGTTGTCTTCTAAAGTGTTTTAAAAGGATTGATTAGGTGAGTGAGTGAGTAAGTGATTGATTGTTACAGCCTTTAATAGTATTCATGTTAAATTTCTTATGAATAAATTATACTTGAATGGTTGATCATATGATAATGTTTCTAACCATAGTGACATGAAGATTTCAACTAGTCATTGGTTTTTTATGACACACTTGATCAGTGTTTCATGATATGCAATGTGTTGAGAGAATACCATGTTTCAGTGATGAGAATGGGTTGATTTTTGATCGAAGAGGAGATACTATGATAAATGATAAGGTAGGTAAGTAGGTAGGTAGGTGGGTAGGTGTATTGATTGATTTGAGTGTTGGGTGAGCTTTTGGCAAGTGAATATTTTCATTTGTTTGTGTAGTATATAGAGAAGAGTGAATTGTTGACTAGAATTGCGTGACTATTCCTTTGTGGTGCTGATTGTGTGAGTGTAGTTGAGTGATTTAATTATTGTATTGTGGGGAATGGTGGTGTAGGTGGAGATCACATGAGCCTACTTTGGATTGGCGAAGTGTGAGTAGTAAGTGAGTATCATTATCCGTGATATATTAGTTGTGATCGAGTGTCTATGATTTCCCCTTCAGTGATTGTTAATCATCAATGAATGTAGTTACCCGTGTTTTTACAATGAAAGTTGTGTGGGATACGTTGAGCATGAGTGTAGTTTGTAGTTTGTGTTTGTCTAATTGTCTACAATGCAGTAACGAATGGATTGCAGGTAATTCGAAGGGGTCAACTGGTAGTCAACATGTACATTGAATTCAGTTTCAGAGTTTAAGTGATGAGCAGGGAATGAGATTTCGGAGCCTTGAAAGTTATGTGATATGCAGAGTAATTAATTCTGACTGTGATTTGTGTAGAGGTGTGGAACTTATTGCGTCACTTTACTACTGCAGATGCTATCAGCTCGTTAGACTAACGAATTAGAAAGGTGGTAGCAGTGGACAGCTGTTTCTCTTAAGTATGAGACTTCTTCTGTAGTGTGAGACCATGGTGGCACCAGTGATCTAACCCGGGACCTTAAGGTATTGCGTTGAGCACGGTGCCGTTGAACCAGTGGGTTGGAAATCTAATGGTTGACATTTTCCTACTTTTATTAATTCACGTTTGTTAACAGCTAATGAAACTAAATGACAGTTTTTCTGATTATCAAATTTCAACCTCCTAATACTTAGTTGTTAACGGTTTCTATGGACTTTTAATAGAATCACACTATGACTATCCTTATAGGGTCTCCCAAGTTACGAGGTTTGTTGCGTTAATCTACCAGATTCAAATATTGTGCAAGTTAGATATGCGATGTCCATCTAACTTGTAATATGATCCACGATAGCCTGAATATCTGAAAATCTGAATCCTGATATAATCAAATAAGATTTGAATACGCTTATTTTACACTTTTAACAAACGTCCCAGTGATCTAAACATGTTTTCATCTTAAAAACTCAATGTTGATTTTTAAGCTATCTGAAGAGCAGGGAGGAGTCGTATCGTCAAAAATTTCAAATTGGAAAGAAATGAAGTAAGGAACCATCTGAAAGTTTGGGCAGTCTTCAGTAAGCCCCACGAACTCTGTGACGATTAATAAACTCATTTGAAGCAACACTACTATATCATCGACAAAATCTCTCCTCTCATGCTGACGCATCTCTTTCCTTTTTCTGTTTACAGGTCTTTGCATTGTTCCTACCAGTATGTCTACTCTAAGTCAACAACGCAAACTAGTTGAACAACTTCGTCAGGAGGCGAATTTAAATCGTCGACCAGTCTCCGAATGTGTACAAGAAATGATTATATATATGGAACAGAACAGAGATAAAGACTGTTTAGTGTCTGGTTTTGCAAGCAAGAAGGATAATCCATTTCAAGAGAAAGGCGGGTGTATTGTGATCTAGGCGAATGAAAGGAAGAGGTTATAATCCACTCACTGTTGATGGTTGACTTTGACTCTTCTCTTTTTGCTTTACTGTTCAATAATTTTATGTTGTTTTGATTTTAGTTACTTGTGATATTTTGCCTGTGGTTCACTGCGTGTGGACACAAACACACGCACACACACACACAGATAGACAGATAGACATGGTGTAGCGTGGTGAAGATATGCTTTTGTGGTTACCTTCTCAATGTGAGTATATCACAGTTTAGAGAAGGACAAAATGACAAAGAATTTGTAATAATAAATTGCTGTTGGAGACTGCCTTTCTTGATTGTGTTTTCTGTGAGTGCCTGTGTTTTGTTGGTGGGGAAACTTTCCATCACAGTGTAGCTATTTTTATCTGGAGGCTAGTCAAAACTCTCTTCATTAGTGAACTAGAATGGTTTAGATCCAATGGTGGTGAATTTAGTTCGTAATTGAAATTGTCTGGGTTTACCTTGATTGACTTTGGCTTAGAAGATTATGTGGTGGACGTAGTTGTACTGAGTGAGGATGTTGATAGTATGTAGAGTTTTCCGGTGGACTTGAGAATGTTTGAGATGTGTTTTTTAACATGTGAGTGTGAATGGTTGCTGTGGGATTGGTGTTTTTGATGCTCGTCTAACAATAGGAAGTAAAATGACCGATAATGTTGTCTACTTCACTCACTTACTGTGTAGTGAGATGATCTGTGTTTGGTGAGCGGTCGATGAAGACTTTGTATGGATGCAAAGGGTTTGATTTGGTTTTGACCAAGTTGCATGATTTATGAGTCTACCGTGACATGCAATTGGTGATTAGGTCTAAGTGAACTGTACGGGATTCATGTTATTCTATCATATGGGTGTGGAAAGTGGTGATAGTAAGAGTTGAATGAGATGAGAAAGCTGTATGTGCTTGACTATGGTTGCCTTTGTAGTATAGGCGATGTGTTATGTTGCGTGTAGTTCATCAATGTGGAAGTCAGGTGCAAAGTTGTATTGGGAAGAGGAGATTGAGTTGACAAGGCTTTGAACCTCAGAAATGGTGTTGTCAAAAGATCGTAGGTTATGTAAGCTTTTGAGAAAATGTTGTTGACTGAGACTTTGAATCAGCCGAGAGATCATTGTATAATTTCATTGTTGGATGTATTTGTATATCGAGAATGGAATTTAGCATTTCAGTAGTCAATATGTAATCGATTTCTGCGCCATAACCGGTGGATGTGTATTGGCGATATGTTTACAAACAGACTAATTAATGCTTGATGTAACTTAACCTTGTGCATGTTTATATACTAGGCTTTTATTTTCATTCTGTATGTAATGCCTTTTGATACCGCCTGGGAGTCATGGAGGTTTCTGAAGTAAGCAACTTTCGTAATGCATGTAGAACCATTCTTATAACATATTGGAACCCAAAGAATTTCAGAAAAGGTAGGTTAGCTGATCCGTGGCCGATATTTTACAGATGACCCCGTTGATAAGATGTTATTTTCTTGAAACTATAATGAATAACCTGCATTTTGAAGTTGTCGACCTTCCAAACAATCAATATATAGTTGAGTGAATAGTGAAAATTAGTTTAACTCCCAACTGTTCTGGAATGAAACAATTTAGCATATGAGTGACAATGATAATAATCGATTTCTTCTAGAATATGATTGGCTGATACTTAATCATGATTATCTCAAGTTAACTGTTACACTGATCAGCTAATTCATATCACTGAAATTCTTCCTACATTTTTTTGAAGATAAAAGATTGTAAAGAAAAAGTCTTTAATTTCTAATCATTACATCATCAATGGTTCCGTTTTAATATCTTGGAATTATAAATCGTATAACATCATGAATTGTTTTTAACTAGATGTAGAAGTTTTAATAAGAAGCTAGTTAAAATGAAGTTTTTTTTCAATATCGAAATAGAAATAGTACAACTTTCCGATTAGATTAACGGTGAATTTGGACGAAAGTTGTTTAAATAACTCTAACAGAAGATAGTTGTCGTAAGTGAAGCATTTCGATAAATTAGAATGGTTATATGTTATATTTGGTGTAGATATAGGATATCTGAGAAATGATACAACTAAAATATTTATAAGTTTGACATGATTTTCTTCATCATCTATTGGTTAATTATAATAAAAGTGTTTAAAACCATATTATAATAGAATTATTCTAAAGATAGGTATTTATTACAAAGTGAAACTAAATTTTGAGGGAGTTGTGGAGATTTGGAAGTATTTCAAGTTGTTATTCATAGTAGACTGACATCAGTTGGAGGAACAAAGGAAACCTGGGAGCACTGGACAGCTGTTTCGTCCTAGTATGGGACTCCTCAGCAGTGCGCACCCATGACCCCACCAGCAGGGATCGAACCCGCGACCCTCAGGTCCCGCGGCCAGCGCGTTACCATTGAGCCACTGGGTCAGAATCGTGAGCTAACAGAAGTTGGAAATATGGAGCATTGGGTCCTGACCCAGTGGCTCAATGGTAACGCGCTGGCCGCAGTTCCTGAAGGTCGTGAGTTCGATCCCTGCTGGTGGGGTCGTGGGTGAGCACTGCTGAGGAGTCCCATACTAGGACGAAACAGCTGTCCAGTGCTCCCAGGTTTCCTTTGTTCCTCCAACTGATGTCAGTCTACGATGAATAACAACTTGAAAGTGAAACTATTTAAAATGTTGATGAAAATGATAAATCGTAGAATATCAATTCTATCCTAGTATATGTATTCCTCGATAATGAATGGATCACTTGTACTCTATAGACAATTAGATCTGAAAACCTTTATGTCACTCTATGAACATGTTAGAATGCATATACTTGATCAGAATTCAATAGTTTCGATTATTCTCATTTCTATTCTTATTATTTTCCAACTTGATATCGTTTATAATATGTCATAGATGAGTGTCTGTAGTAACATTTCTGAGGCTAGTGTTTCGAATCTGGTAGTTAATCAAATGTTCATCACACTTTCACTTATTTTACTCATGAATTTAGCTATTTTGATCAGCTTGTTCACAACTTATTTTGACATCGAAACAGAGAATCATAGAATTTGTATCATGTGAATCACCATTAATCCATTAAGCAAGATTTGAAAAACAAACAGTTCTGAAATTAAGTCAGTTTGTGAAACCATAAACTACCCATTTATAACTGAATAATAATAATAATAATACTAGCCTTATTCTAAACAACGTATGTTGTGCAGTATAGAATTCTCAGGATTCTTTCCCTGTAAAACATCTTCAAGAGAAATAATTATTGCATTTCAATAATATTATTAATGAAACTTAAAGGAAATAGCCTTCTTCACCAATCTAGGCAGCACCGTTTCAACTATAGGCGGCGGCGTAGACGAGGATGTCAAAGTTAGGATCGGAAAAGCAAGACAGGCATTCATTAACCTGAAACCAGTGTGGAGATCTTCTGCATCCCACTCAGTAGAAAGCGTGAACAAGATCAGGATTTTCAACACCAACATCAGTCAAGTCAGTGCTTCTATGTGATGGTTGAGAGACTTGGCGACGCGTCACCAAAAGCATTTCCAGCTAACTACAGACATTCCTCAACAACTGCCTACGCTGGTCTGGCTCGTTACTGAAGCTCAGATGGCCAGAAATAATAAGCAACAAGGAACTGTGACTGGCTGCAACGAACCAAGCAAGAACCTATCGCTCAACAAATATGCACTGGAAGGAAGTGGAGATGGGTTGGACACACACTGAGAAGGTCGACTGGGGACATCACGCGCCAGGCCAGTTGCTCGAGTGGAATCCCCATGGGTAGCGAGGAGTTGGGCGTCTGAGGTGAGGGTGACATGGAGGAGGTCGTGCGAGGAGGAAATGAGAGCTTTTGGGCTGTCGTGGAGCCAGGTTGAAAAGATTTCAGAGAAGAGAGTGGAATGGAGATGTGCTAGTGAAGCCCTATGTTCCATTAGGAACCCAAGGAACAAAAATAATAATAATAATTGTATTGCTGAAGGTTTCAGCGATAGTGAAGACCCTAAGTGTCATCTACAATTCTGTCATTATTTCGTATAATAAAACATAATAACTTTGATAGATGGACTACAGTAAAGAGATGTGAAATCCGTTGAAAGTATAAATTTATATAACTTTCTGATAATGGGTAGATACTAAATATCTTTTCATCGGAGGAAAGAACTACTTTTCAGATCTGTTTTATCAATGCAGAAAATCCTCAAAATGACTTCAGACTGAAGAGATGATGTATGGGATACACAAGTGACATATGAATGCATAACAGGCCACCCATTGAAACCAGAATTCTAACGAGGAAGTGCTATACACACACACACACACACACACACTAAAAAGCAGCCACAGGATGTTAACCAGTATCATAATCTCTAATAGTGTACTACTGAGTGAATTCTATACAGCAGTTCATCTAAGATGAAGATGCAAATAACTTCATATCTCAGGGAGAACTAAGACTCTTTAAGGTTCTGCTATAGTGGTCATTGTTTATCATCACTGGCATTGATGTGCAGCCTATCTCTATAACCAAACATATGGAAAACTTATATTTTGGCGTACTCTACCTCATTTCACGTAAAAAATACCCATCGGTTTTTTAGCCTCTAATAAATTCTGTTTAGGTGATCATCTGTTATTTATTAGTATTGGTTTGTCGTCGCATCAGTAACACATCTCTAAAGTGAAAACAACCTATAAAATCATTGAACAAGATGATAGTATTGTTTTGTCAGGATTTGAGTACACCCTATTCCCTGATTATTTTCAACTTTTGAGTATACATGACAAAGAATAAGAGAGTAACTGTTCCAGTTTACATACATGTAAATCAATATCTAATACACCAGATTTATTTACCATGGTAATTGTTACTATAGTGTGAATGTTGCAAAAAGTAGATAAATATAAAAAAGTGAAGACTATATTATCATCAGGCGGTTACTAAAGCAACCAATCACTATCTAACTATATTAATTAATGAACTGAAAACTCGGCTATTATTCGAATGTATTTATACATCTATCCTATAAATATTTCAGATCGATTTTCTATCAGTTTTCAGATTTCCAAATTAGACCAGGGCTTAAGTAGAGTTCAACTCCATTTTTGTTGATCACACTACTTCAAATTGATGTAAAATATCAAGAAATAAGCACACTAATGAATTTCCGTGAGGTTCAGTAGCTATGCATACACATGTCCACTTATTGTCATCACGTTTTTGAAACAAACTGAAAGTAGTTTTTGGAAGTTAGAAGAAGATTCTATCCAATTTGTGTTTGATAATTGCCAGAGCACTTCAGTAAGGAGTATCTATAGCCTTAAAATAATCTTATACTTCGATCGATTACTGGATAGTGACCGAATTTTGTCAATCATTTGACACTGTTATTTACTTGGGGTTAGTGTATAGGAAATCAGGAACCCAGGTTTCAGACTTATTGGTACTCGTCATTGAGGCGTATCTGCAAAACTTGAAGGTGATGATGTCACCTGTGAGATTCAAATTTGTTTCAACTCGTGCTATAATCAGAGACACTACAAGATACGCTTTGCTGACAAGTATTAACAAGTACGAAATCTAAGTCGTATATGGCTTCCTGCCTATCGCTTCCATTTAACAAGCTAATACTCCCCAAAAACAACCTATAACACTCATTTTCAAAGTCAGAGACTTTACACCTAAGCTAATCAGAGCACAATATACTACTGAGTTACTTCTAGATGCTACAAGTTATCGTACACTGGTACTTACCAACCTCAAAAGTAATTCTATTGACAAAACTTTGTTATCTCTAAGGAATTCGGTTGAATATACAAACTTGTAAGACAAGTTTGAAAATTTATCTGAGTCGTGTATACAATGGTCAAGTAGTTACTGTCGACAGGATTCATAATGGATATTTCAGGTCAGAAGTTTAGATGTTTTTTGACATCATAGTTAGTTGAGAAAAGTATTATCCAGAAGTTCACCAGTGGCTTCAAAGGTATGTACATATTTAACACTAGCCGAGTGTAAACTACTTTCATGTTATCGACAAGTCTGTGGTTCCGGTAATTCCTAGTGATGAAACTTAAAGTTGACGAAGGGTTTTTGCTATTTTAGGGGTTATGTAAGTGTTAGTTAGGGTAAAACTAGTGTTGTCGGTAGTTGTTTAGCAAATGTAATCATGACATCTTATCAATATAAACTATTTTAGAACATGTTTTGACTTTCTCCATAAGCTTGAATTAATCGCTTTCTTATATCTGTGTGTGTTCTGCTGTCACCATCTCCATCATCCTACTTACATTTGACGGAATACCAAGTAAGTGATAGAAAGGCCGTTAATACAAATTTGTTCATGGTACACAAGTGTTTTGTGTACATCTATGTTAAACGGATTCAAGGATTGACTGGTAGAGCTAAGAAGGTGAGATAAATGATAGCTGTTTCATGATGCGAAGTCCTACCACATATGCATTAAAACCTAATTCACTGGTGATCCTTCATAATTCATAGTTCATAAATCTGATCGGACTTATACTAACTACGAGAACTAACCACTTAACTATGATTTAACAGAAGATAGGGACGACGGAACGGTACTCGTCACATATGGTACATCTTGCGCTAAACCCGTCATTTGCAAAATGTGCTTCGTTTACTCTTCTATTTCTCTATTGATTTGCTCTTCATACATTCTTATCAAAAGCATCCACTGTAATATGCCTGCATTATCCTGCGTTGCTCTTGGCAGAATCCTTATCCATTGTTGCTTATTCCCTATGATTCCTACCACCCTCTCATCATATACTACTTATATCCATTCTTATCAGCAACGTCTACTACAACTATACCAAGCAACTAATTATTGGAATCAATCCACAACCTACCTGATAAATAACTGTACACTTTTAAAGATTTTGAAATGACTCTCATCTTCTCCTTGTTATTCAAGTAGAAATGAAGTGTTTTAAAGATACTTTCTGCAAATCTACTGAGATTACAATTAGGTGTAGGAATATGCTTGAAGAAAAGAGATGTTTCCGTCGAATTTGTCTGAAATTTTCACTGTTAACTACTTTACTACTCATTTACTGTTGATAAATTGTTGTGGAATATGATTATATGCCCAAGAAACCTAATGCATGATAAGTAGTATTGCTTAATTGTTTGTTATATTACTTTCTGTTTATAAGCAGATTTACCCAACTATAATATTCATATACCAAACCTATTTCCTACAAAATAGATTACTTTAAATCACCCTAGTGACTGTCTTATCTCATAAGGGCTTTGAAAAACACTATAAACATCATAGATTTTTAATCTGGTATTGTCGACTGCCTTACCGGGTAATGAACGTGTTGCTCCTTGTCAACTTCTGTCCCAACTGTTAATCATGGATAACTGGGGCAAGGAACCACTTGCCATTATTCACCGATAACATTTTAAAAGATCAATAAATGTAAGGAGTAATCTATTTTATATATTGTAGCGTTTTTCTCGCATGGACCGCATCTTTATTCGTTCCACATTGAAACATTTTTTGGCATCATCTAATAAACTGCTACTAGTTTGAATTCATTTTATATCTCATAATGATGCGTTTCGATATCAAAGCCAGAATCGGAAAAGCAAGACAGGCATTCATTAACCTGAAACCAGTGTGGAGATCTTCTGCACCCCACTCAGTAGAAAGCGTGAACAAGATCAGAATTTTCAACACCAACATCAGTCAAGTCAGTGCTTCTATGTGATGGTTGAGAGACTTGGCGACGCGTCACCAAAAGCATTTCCAACAAACTACAGACATTCATCAACAACTGCCTACGCTGGTCTGGCTCGATACTGAAGCTCAGATGGCCAGAAATAATAAGCAACAAGGAACTGTGACTGGCTGCAACGAACCAAGCAAGAACCTATCGCTCAACAAATATGCACTGGAAGGAAGTGGAGATGGATTGGACACACCCTGAGAAGGTCGACTGGGACATCACGCGTCAGGCCAGTCACTCGAGTGGAACCCAGATGGGAATCGACGAGTTGTGTGTCCGAGGTGACATGGAGGAGGTCGTGCGAGGAGGAAATGAGAGCTTTTGGGCTGTCATGGAGCCGGGTTGATAAAGTAGCAGAGAAGAGAGTGGAATGGAGAGGTGCAACTGAATCCCTATATTCCGCTAGGAACCCAAGGAAGAAATAATAATGATAATAAAAATAATAATAATGCGTTTCACATATTTCCATTCCAGTTCAAAGATAGGATTGCGCATTGAAGGATGTAACAGTTCGGGTACGAACCGAAAAAAACGAAAGTGTCATCTCTCTTTGAGAAGAGGAGAAAGATTAATTTAATTCTATTCAGATCCATTTTAAGTATAAGTTATATGCCTTAGGGTTCCAGACTAACAAACTCGAATAAAGCCTTAATCTTGCAAGTAAATCTAGCTGATGACTTCGAAATAGGACGAGATACAAACCCAGTGCTTCAACAACCAGAGCATTATGCACTAGGCTACTGAGGTTAACAAAGCTATCAAAAGAAATAAGACTATGATATTATTCATACATTATTCGCATTACAATCTCACTTATAGACAAAAAGAGATGAAGTTCAATGTTCAATAAAATTGGTTTCTTTCTGTAGCAAAGATGAAAAAAAAACGGTGAAATACTCAGAAAATAATGAAATAGCAGTCATTCTTGATTATTCATTGCTTATATACAATTTGAAGCAAAAATGATATAATTCTTTCATTTGACTTTAACAGGTGGAATCTCTTCAAGATCATCCCAATTAGTATTTAGAATAGAAGAGAATTGTTCATTCTACAATTGATTGATAAATAGGATGGCAAAAGATTAGAATAAATATGATTATAAACAATGAAATATTGAGAAATAAATTAGTCTGATAGATATTGTTTAGAAAATTAGTTGAAGTTAGATTTCATTGTCAGGTTGACAAGAGAATTGATCAAAATTCAATATTAATAGAGAGTTGATTTAGTCTAGTTTTCAACCTCTGATTAGTGTTTATCCATGAGTCTAAAGAACACAGTGTTTATAACCTTCAGGTATCCAGATGAAGTTAACAATAACTTGATCATCACAAGATCTAACAGTCTTCAGAGTAGAGATGGTAGACTTTTTTTTGTCCTCTTTTTGGTTTCATCTCCTTATAAAGACTCTTTTTACATCCCATGACAGATAGGTAGAGAGTAGATTGTGAACGCTATACGAAAATGATGACTAGGAGTATAACACACTGGAGTTTGCAGTCAGAGTCTATTGTAATAAATAATGCTGAATCATGTTCTCTTCAGGAGACTTGATCTAGATACAGTAATTCTCAACTACTGACTTTGCTGTACAATAGCTTTCTTCATTTTAATCTATGACTATGATATATGACTTCAGTTGATGGAAACCTTGAGAAGACTATGTGCTTCTCATAACTTGTATCTTTGACACACTGATCATATGTGACTTAACTGTTGAGTAAGCAAGTAAGAAATGTGAGCCAGTCTCTCATCATCTAAGGCAGTCAGGATAATTAGTGTTAAAGGTGATCACATATTAGGATATTGAAATGTAGTGACAAAAGGCAGCCAATAGGGGAGTTGTTTTCAAGTCATGATCAGATCATGTTCGGGTCATGATTTATGCATGCACTGACATGAGAACCTGATTGGAGAAATCCGACCTGATACAAGAAATCTTATTGGTTCATTTATGGCTGCACTTTCTGAGAGTTTTGTAAATACATATATGTCATGTATTTGTCTAATAAAAGTTGTCGCTGTTCTTGCAGTCACAGGTCATCTTCTGATTTTCTCCGCGGCTCAGTGAAGCAGAAGGTATTGAGGGAGGTCAGTCGTAAAGGTATTCGGTTGAACTGTCTACTGAGTCTCAGTATCATTATACCCACGCGTGCAACTCCATCACTTGGTCACAACAGATATTACACTAGTTCATAAGATCATCGGCTGTCACTAGTATGTACCACGTGGGAGAGTGTACACGATCTGAATGACTTCTTAGATATTTTTAGAGTAAATAGTTATGAGTCCTAAGTTACACTGTAGTACGAAAGTCTACTATGATTCACTGTGTGTCTATCGGCTTAAATATGTCCAGATATCAGTTGTGATGTTGTAGATGTCTGTATTTCTACTTTATATTCCTCTCTTATACTTGAACATCTTATGTTTATCATCTCCTTTTCCACTCAATAGTGTCTTCTTCTTTTCTCTTGACAATACCTTTCAAAACATTTGTCTATTTCCTGTCTTTATGATTTTGAAAAGTATAGGTAAATTGAAGCAATAGAGTTCACTGTTTCAATCAAACCAGGTGTAGATTTCTATCTCAGCCATCATTGCCGCAAAAACTGTCAATCGAATATCTTAAGAAACACCATACAACATTATCTTGTAAACATTGAACACTGAACAAGTCTGCTCTTTTGTAAATTGATTGGTGAAAAGCAACTTTATCACTAATTCACTGAAATACTACTAACAACTAATTACAGCACTATACAATAGTTTAATGAAACGGTCACTTTTTTTCATTGCATAACGAAGTTATGTTTTTAGGCATAGAACTCCTGTCTGAATTATAAACGTTATCTTGGGAAATTGTGTGAATGCATAATAGAAGATACAAATTATTGATTAGACTTCTTTTTTCTGATGTTAAGATTGTCATCATTTCAGTTTAACTATAGTTATAAAATAGGAAACATTGAAAGCTGAAAACCAGTCCCCTTAAAAAGTAACCGATATATCTCACTCGGATTGAATGTCACCTATTCAATCATTCTTCACTGTTGATTCCTTTTTTATATGAACTAATTACAAATTAAAATTTTTGTATATAACGTCTATCTAACTATAACCAATTTACATCTTAGTCACAAAAATTAGTATTTATATAATAATGATGACCACTGATCAACAACCTACTACTCAATATATTTTAGTAGTCAGTTTATGTCAACATTTTTATCAGTAATTTAATAATTTTAAGGAGTTGGAAATGCAGTTTAGGCCTTAGCTATTCATCAGCTAAAGCCTGATCTTTGTGTATGAAAGAAATACGTATAATTAGTGTTTTTTACCGTGGCGATAACATTTTATCAACCCTTAAGTAGTTTCCCCGATTATTGTTACTATAATTACCTTCACTTTGAGTAGTTTTCAGTGTCATTTCACTTATTAATGATATATATTAACCATCAGTGGAATCCCAGAACGTGCGTTTCGTCCTATTTGGGACTCATCAGCAGAATGTTATTCAGTAGGTCACGGGTATAGTAAATCTTTGATGTTACAGCTTGTGAATCTTTGTTGACCTTAATGGGAACAATATCACTCGCTGAGAGGTAGGTACATCAATCTGAGTAGTCCCAAACAGGACGAAACATGCATCCTTGATGAAAATGTTCAAAATATCGAGGATAATGCTATCCGAGTACACTTGAGGTAATGAGATCAATTTTCATCTATTTTCAGTCGTTCAACATTAACTCCGAACCTGGCTCATGATGTTTCCATACTGCATAATACTGCATAAGACATCACTAGGTAAGATAGATAGGAAGTATCTAATCATAAGTAGTAGAAAGTCATCAGAAGAGAACAATGAAGGGTGAAACAATGATGAATTTTTGTGTAGTGATTGATGTATGGATACACCTTTGCTACTGACATCGATTCTGAGGTATATAACCTATAGTCACCAGTCACTGATTTCAGCTACCATGTGAATCCCAACTAGAAGGTCTACATTCCCTTATGTGACTCAGACGAAAAACAGTCAGAGACTTGACGAACTCATGCCATATTTTATTCTAACAGCCTCTTTTACCTTATCGCAACTTAAACCTACTTCAGCTAACATTGTGCGACTCGGAAAACGGTGACTAGGCATGCGTATCACACGTCACAGCCATCTGAGTCAGTTAAAATCTATAGCCTCATCAACTACCTTTTAGATTCTGCTTAAGAATCTGCACCTGACTTCTACATTACTGATGTTATGGCACCATGATACAAGGTCTATACTACTTCAGGAAATCCGCTCTGTTCCATTATACATCGGTAAGACAGTCTGTGAAATTAGGAGATATGAAGAGAATACAGGTGTCTTTGAAGTGTTGTTGACATGTGAATGGTGCTAGGCTTAAACTAGACAAGGAAGGTTAGCTAGTTGATAAGGCTTCGAAATTCCACCAAATGAGGTGATTTGGACATGTTTTGGCCAAACCAAACCATCAACCAACATGATGTTTGATTGCAGTCAAGGTAGAATTGGTTCCAAAAAAGGCTTAAGGTGCTCACATCAAGATGCAGCAATAATCCATAGAGTCTTTAAGCATAGGATTGAGCCATATAGGAAGATAAAGGCTACAGAAATGTGGCTCATTGATTTAGACAATTGACTTTCAAGCAGTGGTTTGGAGGTTCAAACTTTAATCCGTTTTTGGCAACCAAGTGGTATCATTTATGCACACACCAGTTGGTGTGACTCATTATCTACTGCATGGACGTGCACAAGATTGTTGAGTGAGTCTCAATATTCAATGTACACTATGCGAATTAAGTCCTTAAAAAGATGCATAACTGAGTAATATGGCTACGAACCGGTCACAGTGGCCCAAATGTATCCACTGTTCCTCATTCTCAAATTACATTCATTTATTCTCTCTTCTTTCATATATTTCTGTCTACTCTAATATCATTATTTCTCTCTTTAGTTGTTTTTTGCATACTGTTGTGAAGTATAGTGACTTGGAGTTATGTACTCCTTTGAGAGAATCTGTTCTGATTTTTCAATTTGTTTGTCTCCTGGAATATATCTTACATTTCTATGACTAATCTGGGTATTTAATTTCATCACTTTGCTTTACCTATAGCATACAATATTTTGATTAGCTTGTAGAGGAAGTTCTGAGATTTTCTATAGGAAATCGTTATCTGTTATTCAAGATTAGGAAGTGAATGAATATTAATCGATAAAAATGGATGATGTCAGTGTTGCATTGTTGATTGCTCGAAGTTGTTAAAAGTGCAGACTGGAAAAATTTCAAGTTCTCAGCTCAACACTGTTTATGGTTTCAGAAGCGTTTTGTCAAAATATCCTAAGTCAGGATAAAATTAGTTTGTAGTGTTTTCACAATCTTTTAACTGGGTATGGTTTCTGACAAAATGCATTTTTATCGACGGCTGAGTAAATCACCAGTGAATAGAGAGAGAAGTATTAGACAACAGGGTTTATCTGAAGTAGCAATAGTTTTACAGTCTTGTCCTAATGCAAACTGATATAGATTGAGAATGGGATAAAACTGATTTGTGGTAGTATTCAAGTCAACAGTTTCAGAATTTCTGACACGATGTTCTAGAAAATTAGACATTGATCTTGTAATCGACTGACTGTTTCAATATATATATATATACTAGTAGAATAGCGAAAGTTACCGTTGATCGACCAATCTTTAGGTGTTCTCCATCCGATATTGTGACACCTGACACTAGGTCAACAAGATCGATTGTATTCGTCACATTTCCACAGGCATTCTTAATTCTTTGTAGGCGTATCAAATCAGGTGAGATTGTTTGTTCTGTTGAATCGAAACTACGATTTCTTGATCTTGTTTTATTTGTTTTCTAAAGCGGAGGAGAAAACAAACGATTTTAGGTAAACAAAAATGAAATATCATAAATGCATCTTGATACCAGCCTACTAGCTATCGAAAAGGGTCTTACCAATATATGTAATCCACTATTCCTTCCTCTATAATTTAAGTGGGTTACGATTGAGATAAGATCTAGCTAGGTAGTTAATGTGATCGTAGATGACATATGGCTGAGGTGAAACCAAGACCTGTTCAGTGGTTGGACCTGGTAGCTCGACTGGTAGACCACTAGGTTGGTGACCCGAAGGTTGCTGGTTCGACCCCTACATTGAGGTACTTCTTCGTTTTCAATGAATCAAACTGTATCATGAGAACTAGACTGCCAAACCATGGCTATTTTATTTGGTTTTGCATCAAATAATGAGATCAGACATCAGTCACTAAATGAATGATTCAAGTTAATCGGTAATTATTCTAATGGCAAGTAATAATCACACTAAGAAATTTGTATCAAAAATTTTCTATTGGACTGATGCACAATCAGTCAACATTAAACTCAGTTCACTGTAATGTCTCTGTAAAATCAACTTTTCGATTCGCAACAAAAATCAACGGAAGTCACTACTCGGTAACCAGTTCCCTGGGAAGCAATATCGCCTATATAAGTCACAACTTTATACAGTTGTTCTTAATCGTCAAGTTACTACACTTACTTCATTTGATGGTATTTTTTTGTGTAGTTACAACTTCACCTTTTAGTCAATCCGTTTGACTAAACTATCGCCTGTCTACAAGAAACATACCTTTCTGATTCTTTCGAAAACTTGGTGTTATGACCCAATTTATGTAAAATCCTTTATCAACTTATTTGATATGATGTTTCATGAATGCAGTGTAAGCCTGTCACTGAAGTGGACTGTAGTGATCTTGAAATGGTGGGGAATGTTTGTAGCTCAGGTGGATGGTCTTGATTGTATTGCGTTCTCTGAGTTGGGTTGTTTATTTGTGGAGCTTTCATCGTCTTTCTAGACGATATCATCAGCACTGGCTACAGTATGAAGTGAGCAGTCACCGTCACTGATTTATTAGCTTGCCTTGACGAAGTGGTTTGTGACTGGTTGTTTCGTTTGACTGTTGTGTCACTAATTGTATAGATTTTCCTGTTGGCGGTTTCTCATTGGTTAATAAACGGTAGAAAGGTCAGAAGTTAGGCAGAGGAACAACCAACAAGAAAATCTATGCAGTCAGTGACACAACAGTCATAGGAAACAACCAGTCACAAACCAGTTCGTCAGGGCAAGCTACTAAGTCACTCAAGGAGAGATATTGACAGCTCACTTCATACTAAGGCAAGTGCTGATAATGTTGTCTAGAAAGACGCTTTCACTTGTCGACACAATATATGCCTTTTGTTATGTTGAATTTCTCACACTTTTACTCAAAAACTATACATTTTATTCACTGTCTAAGCGTTAATCGAACAAAATGATAAACTATGTTAAAATAACTCAATCATTGAATTTCATGCACCATTCCAAAACAGATGAATACAAGCCTTATTTGAGTTGCACAGAAGTGCATGAGAACAATCGAGGTGAATAGATGGCACGTATGATTTACTTGATGACAATGTTTCGAGCATAAATTATTCCTCAATCCAATTCACTTATGAAATAGAAAATGAACAAAGAGAATTGCCTATGTTGGATTGCAGGATGAAACGAAGGACAGACGGTGGTTTGGATAATACTGTCCACAGGAAATCGACACATTCCAACAGGTATCTAGACTACTTCAAGTCATTTCATCCAATATCAGTCAGTTAAGGCAGGCTTTGTCAGATGCCTCAATGATAGAGCTAGAAAATTGACTAGTCAGTGCAAGGACCTAAACAAGGAATTGAAACACATAAAAGAAGTCCTAATAGTTGATAATCATCCTCCACAGTTTATTAAGAAATTAGTACGAACACCTAAGAAACGAAAAAATCACAGTAACAGGAGTACGAATAATAACGAAAACACAAGCAGAAAGGAGTTCACACCCTCCATTGTGTTACCCTATAAGGAAGGTACATTAGAAACCTTACGTAGGATCCTCAACAAAGCTGGAATTAGAGTGGTATTTAAACCTAGAAAACTCACTCAGCAGAGATAAGCTTTGTCAGCTGGCTTAAGCAGCCAATAAAACCAGCTGAACAAAATAATCTAATCTATCACATTCCATGTAATGACTGTGAGGTCAAGTACATAGGTCAAACTATCCGGTTGGGGTCAGTTAGAATAACGGAACATAGGAATTTAGCGAAATGTAGAATGACAAACTCCAATAGAATCAATAATCTAGAAAAAGTACTCGGCTATTGCAATGCATGCATTAACACATAACCACACAATAGGATGAGTGGGAAAAACCACTATACTCAACTTCAACATAATTAGATGGAGAGATTGATTACTGAATCTTTGTTCATTGAATCTAAAACCCTAGATAGTTCATAGTAATTATGCAGACAATAAGAAGACCAGATGTATATTCAGATGAATAACAATGATAACAGTGGTGTTAGGAATAAGGTTAATTAGAAGAAACAAATCAGGAAAGGAAAACAAAATATCAGATGGGTGGTAATTAAGAGTGAAGAGCAAAGAAGAGAGATTAAATATGATTAGACAATGTTGTAATTATTACCATGGCAGATTCAAGCTGACTACCATTTCCTTCTGAATGCAAAGGTTTGCTTTGACAACTCGAATCGTGCAGGCTTCTACATATCCAAGCAACTTCTTATTTTGCTGTCTACTGATAACTTTAAAGGACTTATAGGTATCAATATCATGTCCATAGTCCATTAGGTGCTTCGTTATCGAGCTCCTCGGGGTATTCTTTTCGGCATGCTTCAACCATTCAGGTATGTGCTCAACCATTCGGGTGGACAGACGCCTCTCCGTACGACCAATGTATTTGCTTCCACAGGTACAATGGAATTGATATACGCATTTAGATGTGTCAAGGATCGGAGTCATGTCTTTCTCTGATTGCTGCAGTACCCTTTTAGTGGTGCTGAGAAGAACGAGTTTAGCTACGTAGATAGACTTCTCCAGACTTCGTCAAACTACCTTTAACACCTCGTCACCTTCGAATGGCAAGGTGACACTGTTAGAGCCGTTGTTCTGCTCCCTACCCATTTTGCGTGCTTGTTGATAAAGTTTTCTACTGAAAATTTATGAATTCATAAAATCCTGCCTTTTTCACACATTATTATTATTATTACTTTATTATTTGTCCCTTCGGTTCTTAATGGAACATAGGGATTCAGTAGCACGTCTCCATTCCACTCTCTTCTCTGAAATCTTTTAAACCTGGCTCCACAACAGCCCACAAGCACTCATTTCCTCCTCGCACGATCTTCTCAATGCCACCCGTGTCTCAGACGCCCAACTCGTCACTTCCTATCGGGGTTCCACTCGAGGGCTTGGTCTGGTGCGTAATGCTCCCCAGTCGGTCTTCTCAGTGTATGTCCAATCCAATCTATCTCCACTTCCTTCTGAATATTTGTTGAGCAATGGGTTCTTGGTTGGTTCGTTCCCAGAGTTCGCAAATTCCTAGCACTTCAATGCGATACCTTCTCATTTCGTTTGCAATCTGGGCTGCCTTGGTAGGTTCAAACATATTGCGGGCATTCCACGTCCCCATCCTCACTTTCACTTTCATCGAGAGAAGTGAAGACACATCCACCAATTGGCTTCGCGAAGGCTTTCACCAACTGGCGTCATTTCGTCTCTCCGATTCCAGTGAGGAATAATTTTGTGTTTATTTTTTATATTTTGTCTATGCTTTGAAGTTTCTTTAGCGGTTGGACTTGTTTTACGGGGTAGGGTTGCTAGCCCTAAACCCAACCTTCCCTCTTTACCCGGGCTTAGGACCAATTAGTAACTAGTGAACTAGTTAACATCATCATCAAGTAAATAATACTAGAACACTGTGTGTTATAAATCAAATGAATAAGTCTAATATGAAAGCAGAAGAATCCCATATTTACCGAAATTGTCACTCAAATCTTAAATCATCAACGGGATATTTTACCAAATCGGAGAGAACTGATGTTTTAACAACTTTTCACATTCGGACAATTTTTAATGGATGTGAACAGTGAAGGACCCATTCCTTAATAGACTATTTGGCGCTACTCAATGATCCTAATTTTTAACAAGTTTTATTTCAAATATTTGAAAAACGTGCTTAATAGGCATTGTATAAAATCACAAAAGCTTTTCATTATGATTAATATCCATTTGAATAAATGGCATACACATACTAGTCAACTTACAGTAGACATTGATGATCTAGCTGTTCTGAATTTTTTAGTGGTACTAGTCAATTCAAATCGATGATGAGTTGTGCTGTCAAGTGAATTGGTTAAAAAACGCCATTGAACTGGGATTTTATTTCCAAGAGGATTACTACCATTTACCTCTAAATACCCGCCAACAGCTGTTGTTGACTCACAATGCTTATTATTAACTGGATGTAACTTGGGTACACTGATTAAATTGCCTTCATCGTCGAAAATAAGTTTTCCAGATCCACTCGTTCGCTTGCTCAGAAGCTATACTTGTTTTACAGGGATTTAAGAAAATGGAATTTTAACAATGAAATAAAATGAAATTGTTGATACAATGTTTAGCTACTAACAAGCTGTAAGTAGTTTGAGATATCATACAAACATTTGCGTGATTTGACAGTAAACAAATTTAAGGGATATTTGGAATAGTGGTGACAGATTATGAGCAAACCATCTTCGTATTTAAAAACACAAAATCTGAAAGAGTGAATTATTAATGTTTCACATAAGATGACAGTAACAAAAGACTCACTCCCAGCGAGAAATAGAAGGCACGCCGAATAATTTTGTTCAGAATAAGACACTGTCTGAATCTAGCAAAAATTTACACCTCTAGATACGATAAAGCGGTAAGTTACCTAAGGTAGACTACAGGAATTAACCTGCTAGAGTTAACTGTCAACAGTTGTAGGTAAGGTCTCAATAAGTGAAGGCTTGAAATATACGATTTACCCGGTATATTAACTAAGTGTAAGTTTCATTTACGTGTTTCAGTTTTTAGAGGAGTATACCCTCTTCCGGGAGATAATGTCTCCGAATTTCAGCGTGTAGCACTCCCTTCTGTAAAACTGAAACGCTACATAACTAAATATGGAGCCAACCAAGTAGACTGAATTAGGCTCTGTACATTGACCATGCTACAAATCTCAGCACTAAAAAGGAAAAAACGTTTTAACTACTCTCTACCTGAATACTGTATAAGTGCCTAGAAATCAAAGAGTTTGCCATGAGTTCAGTGTCAGTTGTTTAAATATAAAGTTGTGAAAAGCCATCCTGGAAGATAGCTACCACCAATAAGGTAGATGAGTCATTTAAACAATATCACCTCACCAAAGAGTAATAAATGTAGTCAATAAGGCATAATAGTTGATTAGAGTGGGAATGTCGGCTGGTATAGCAGATGGTTCAAATGTCTTCAATGTACCCGAAAGCTGAATAAATCATGTTGACATCAATTTGATGGGGATGAAACATTATTCTATGAAAAAGGGACTGCTCTTTTTCATAATGGTATGAGAAAAAGCTTTCATTACTAATCTGCTGATCAATGAAGTGTGTTCATCAGGCCCAAAACAAAAAAGTGAATTGATGAAGCTATATGACCTACATGTAACTCACAATATAACATGTTAGTTGACGTAAGATGCTTAAAATTCGTGCTGTGGTAGACAATATTAAACAATCACAATCATTAATGTTATACATTTTGTTCCCTTGACAAATTTTGATGAGGGAGAGACTGAAACATTTGTAGAATAAAACGAGTTCATTTCATTTTATGACATTTTATCAGCTGGAAACAACCTATAATTGAAATGAATTATTAATAATAGTAATGATATAATATACTTTAAATAACTAGAAATAAATGAACATGCCAAATCCAGAATCAACAGTAAGGTAGTAAGTTCCTATGTTCCCAGTGGAACATAGGGCTTAAGTAGCACGCCTCCATTCCACCCTGTTCTCTGTAGTCTTTTAAACCTGGCATCACAACTGCCCAGAAGCTCTCATCCCTTCCTCACACCATCTCCTTCACGTCACCCTCGAATCAGACGCCTCAATCGCAGTTTCCCATTTGGGTTCCACTCAAGTGCCTGTGGCGTGATGTCCCCGAATGGTCATCTTAGTACATGCTCAATCCATCTCCCCTTCATTCTGCATATTTGTTGGGCAATGGGTTCTTGGTTGGTTCGTTGCCCGACCAGAATTCCTCGTTCCTTATTCTTTCTGGCCATCTGAGCTTCAACATCGAGCCAGCCACGGCAGACGTTGATGAATGTCTCCAGTTTTTTTAAAATGCTTTTCGTAACGTACCAAGTCTCTCAACCATCACATAGAAGCACTGACTTGACTTACAATGGTGTTGAAAATCAGGATCTTGTTCACGTTTTATACTCAGTCGGGTGCAGTAGATCTCCACACTGATTTCACATTAATTAACGCCTGTTTTGCTTTTCCGATCCCGGTTCTCACATCCTCATCTGTGCCGCCACCACCTGTAGTTGAAACGATACTGCCCTGCTCTGCCTAGGTAAGTAGGTAGGTAGGTAGGTAGGTAGGTAGGTGGGTAGGTAGGTAGGTAGGTAGGTAGGTAGGTAGGTAGGTAGGTAGGTAGGTAGGTAGGTAGGTAGGTAGGTAGGTAGGTAGGTAGGTAGGTAGGTAGGTAGGTAGGTAGGTAGGTAGGTAGGTAGGTAGGTAGGTAGGTAGGTAGGTAGGTAGGTAGGTAGGTAGGTAGGTAGGTAGGTAGGTAGGTAGGTAGGTAGGTAGGTAGGTAGGTAGGTAGGTAGGTAGGTAGGTAGGTAGGTAGGTAGGTAGGTAGGTAGGTAGGTAGGTAGGTAGGTAGGTAGGTAGGTAGGTAGGTAGGTAGGTAGGTAGGTAGGTAGGTAGGTAGGCAGGTAGGTAGGTAGGTAGGTAGGTAGGTAGGTAGGTAGGTAGGTAGGTAGGTAGGTAGGTAGGTAGGTAGGTAGGTAGGTAGGTAGGTAGGTAGGTAGGTAGGTAGGTAGGTAGGTAGGTAGGTAGGTAGGTAGGTAGGTAGGTAGGTAGGTAGGTAGGTGAGCGACAACTTCATTGAGATTTATCCCCTCCTTGCTGACTTCTATCTGTCGCGATTGATGTTGTTGGTTGGGTATCTTCATCACCTCCCTCTTCTCTACATTCAATCGAAGTCCCGTCTTCGCTGCCTCACCTCTTCTATCAACTTGTTGGATTTTACCTGTAGATCTTCGAGTTTATGTGATATTAGACACAAGTCACCGGCGAAATCCAAATCTCCTTCTGGGGTCTTGTTGTCCGTCCAACAAGCGTATGCCCCTCTTCACTCTCCTCACTGTTTTTCCTCCATGATCCAGTTCAGTCGACCACAATCAGGAAGATCATCGGTGACAGTAGGCAGTCTTGGCTTACTTCTGTCTGTTTTCACTTCAAATGCATCACTGAGCCTCCCACTGTGAATCACTTGGCGTGCGCCATCATTCAGCATATAGCTGTTGAATAAGGTTGATAAAGGTTTCTGGTACTCCATAGTGTTTAGGCAGCTGCCTGACAAATTACTTCTCGGTCGACACTGCCGAAGGTCCTTTCAAAATCGATGGGGTTCAGGTAGAGAGTTGACTGCTATTCTATTCTCTCTGCTATGATGACGTAAAGTGTTTCATTGCAATTTGATCCACACGACTTGTTCTTCCTGAAGCCAGCCAGCCTATCAGCCAGTCTGTTCAGGTCGTAATTTTGAACCCAGTACATCTTTTAGTCTCTCCAGGATGATGCGATTTAGTATTTTGCTTGCTTGTGGTAGGTAGGAGCATGATTCCATGCCAGTTCTTACAAACACTTAGGTCTCCCTTCTTTGGGAGATTGACAAGGTTGCTCTTCTTCCAGTCAATCGGCAGGTACCTTTCCTTCCTTCCTTCCTTCCAAACTTTCTGTAGTAGTGGTGTGAGCATGTCCTCTGCTGTTATCTCTGCGTTTGTTTTCTGTGCTTCTGGTAGAATTCCATCTGGTCCTGCTGCATTGCTGGATTTCAGCAGTTTTATGGTATTCAGGACTTGTGATTTTGTTGGAGGTCAAAGATTTCTCAAAATCAAGTAGACGCCATTTTTTCAATCCTTCTTATGTACTTACTTCCACAAGTTTATATGAATTGATACATACAGATGCAGATAAAGTGAATTGGGTATTCGTTTGCTTTTAGCTGTGTTACTAAGACTTTAGCTAAGTTTAAGGTGAAGATATAATGCAGTGTTATTAGAGGACAGCTGTACTATGTCATGAATAGGCTATGATTTAGGAATGCTAACTTTTCCAGTCCCTGAGATTCATTAGAGTTATTTTGTCAGGATTCGACAGTATGCTACATAACATAATTTTAGACAAAGCTGAAACAGTCATTCAGCCCTCCATGGTTCAAGGTCATTATTCAACTAATAACAACGTGTTCATCAATGGTATAGTTTACTAATTATCTGATTTATGTTAGACATCCAAGCTCATCAGTAAACTGTCTACACGAAATTGTTTGATCTATTTAAAACTGCCCAAACACATCATAGATGAATTTCAACTATATTTGATAAAAACTGCCTACTGTTTCCTGTCATGATAGTGTGATATGACCGATGGAATAACTGACATTCAATATTTTCATGTTGTTCAGTTTCAGTATACAAAAACAGACATCTGTAAGGGGTGTAGTTTGAGGAAATTTTTATTTTAGAGTAGTATTCATCACGGAGTGACATCCTGTAGAGAACCCGTTGAGAACACTGGACAACTGCTTCATGTCAGCATTGAACTCCTTAGTAGCATGAACCCACGACCCCGCCGGGGATCGAACTCAAGACATTCATGTGTTTCACATTGTCTGGTTTCAAATACTAATTGAATTCTACCGATTGGTTTGCAATACGGTCATTAAAGAGGGAGATTCAGTTTCAACTACAGGCGGCACAGACGAGAATTTTAAAGTCAGAATCGGAAAAGCAAGACACGCATTCATTAGCCTGAAACCAGTGTGCAGATCTTCTGCACTCCATTCAGCATATGGAACAAGATTCGGATTTTCAACACCAACATCAGTCAAGTCAGTGCTTCTATGTGATGGTTCAGAGACTTGGCGCGTTACGAAAGGGATTTCCAACAAACTACAGACATTCATCAACAACAGTCTACGCTGGCTCGATACTGAAGATCAGATTGCAATAAAGAATAAGGAACAAGGAACTCTAGGAACGAACCAACCAAGAACCTATCGCTCAACAAATATGCACTGGAAGGAAGTGGAGATGGATTGGACATACATTGAGAAGACCGACTGGGGGGCATTACGCACCAGGCCAGGTGCTCGAGTGGAACCCCGATAGGAAGCGACGAGTTGGGCGTCCGAGACACGGGTGACACTGAGGAGATCGTGCGAGGAGGAAATGAGTGCTTGTGGGCTGTTGTGGAGCCAGGTTCAAAAGATTTCAGAGAAGAGAGTGGAATGTAGATGTGCTACTGAATCCCTATGTTCCATTAGGAACCCAAGGGACAAATAATAATATTAACTCTACATTAATGACAATTTGTCATGCTGAATTCATCATTTGACGATTATATTCATTATACTGGATAAGATATCTAAATCCTCTAGTTCATGGAAAAGAATCAATTAAAGGGTAAGACGAATGGTCAGCTGATGAAAACCATATAATGTATAAAGATTTTTAAATGTTATTCCACTTACCATAGCTTCTGATATTTGTTTCACTATTGGTTTAGTTCTTTTCTTGCTAATTGTATTACCCGCTTGCTTATCCACTATAAATTTATTCTTTGAAGAAATATCTTCAGCCTCACTAAGAACTTCTGTTTTACAAGATATCAACTGAGGATCATCTATGGATGATTTAATACGACGTGAGGTAAAAGTTCTCTGTTCAATCGGTTTACGATTATAATCTAGAATAAAATACCAACAAGAGTAATAATGGGTAAAAATGTTACAGGAGATAATAAAGCTCTAAAATCTACCTTTCATGTTATACGTAAATTGAATCCATGAAAATTATTTGGGAAATCATTGATTTTGTTCGTCGTTCGATAAGAAGCTGATCACTGTTGAACAGTTCTGTACTGTGACAAAAAACAGTACCCCAAGGTTTATTCATGGTTGTAAACCTTCATCAACTGAAATGGCTTGAACCTGTACTGCGCATACCAAGTCACCATCTGCCTTGAAGTACAATACTGGGGGAAGTTGGATTAAGTTGAAAGAGGGTTCAGGATGGCCCCACCAACACCTGGTACCAGTCGATGAAGCCTGTGATTGTTGGTTTGAGCTGTGTGAGGAGATTTGGACCGCCTGTTTAGGATAACCGAGATTATAGGGATGAGTAGTTGAGGACTCTTGGTGACATACCTGGAACTTCGTCACTGTAGACCAGATGTATCCACTACTTGCCATCTTCTAAAGCTTGGGTATTTCCACTAACCTTTATTTTCAGGTTATTTATTCTCTCACACAACTTTATCTACTTTGGTATCACTCATTTTCTATTCATCTGTTCTTTGTGTACTTCCGTGGAGTATGACAACGTGAACCAATGCACTCATTTGCGAGGTTCTACGTTGATTTTTTCTGTCTGCCTGTGTGCGATGTGCATCATACAGACAAACAGATATCAGTCAGTAAATGGCTTTATTATCTACACTGGCATATATAGTCATCTAATCCCGAACTAATAATTTGCCTCAGAATTTTTAGTTAGTAAATTAAACCTGAGATGATAGAGAATATTTCTAGCTCAGGAGGATAATGTTGATGGTCTTGTGTTCCCGGAGCTAGAGTGCTTAATCGTGGAGCTTTCATTGTCATTCTAGACGATATCGTCAGCACAAACTTCAGGAAGAAGTAAACTACAAAGTTTCCTCTGCAACTTACTTAGTAGCTCACCCTGATGACCTTGTGTATGATTGGTTGTTTCTGTCAAGGTTTTAACGTTGTCTCCATCTTTATTTTGATTGGTTGCGGAGAAAACATTATTGTTCATTTCTTTCTGAAGTTTGGGCTGATGATGTCGTCTATTTCGACAACGATTCAAAAATGCATCTTATGGAAAAAGAAACCATCTACCTATTTGTTTAAAAAGCCGATATCCGATAATGTTTTAATCAAGTGAGAGTATAATACTTCTGATATCAAACTGGAGGAGAATATTTAATGGATTCAAGGGGAGAGGTAAACAATATAAAATAATGACAAACACAAGTAATTTGTCCGATAAGCAGCAGTGTTTTTCACTAGAAGAACTTTATCGATTTCGGTGTCATATCTCTTCCGGAAAAAAGCATCATTCTACAAAACACAGAAACAGCGGATGACGTGTAGCTACGAAATTGAAGTGACTTTAAAATGTCCTCAAATCACTGTTTATTTAGACCGAAGAAATTGGAAAATAGAGAGTAAAACACAATAGTTTATTCAGCTTAGGAAAGAATTCCAATGAAGACGTAAAAACTTGATAAACTATTGATTATTATTATTTGTCCCTTGGGTTCCTAGTAGAACAAAGGGGCTCAATAGCACGCCTCCATTCCACCCTGTTCTCTGCAGTCTTTTGAACCTGGCTCCACAACTACCCACAAGCACTCATTTCTTCCTCATATGATCTCCTCCATGTCACCCTCGGACACACAACTCGTCGATTCCTATCGGGGTTCCACTCGAGGGCCTGGCCTGGCCTTGCGTGTGATGTCCCTAAACTGTCTTTTCAGTGTATGTCCAATCCAATCTATCTCCACTTTCTTCTGCATATTTGTTGGGCAATGGGTTCTTGGTTGGTTTGTTGCCCGACCAGAATTCCTTGTTGCTTATTATTATTATTCTGGCCATCTGGTGTTCAGCAACTAGCGTAGGCATCTCTTGATCAATCACTGTAGTTTGTTTGAAATGCTTTTCGTAACGCACCAAGTCTCTCAAAAAATCCGGATCTTGTTCACGCTTTATACTCAGTCGGGTGCAGTAGATCTCCACACTGATTTCACATTAATTAACGCCTGTTTTGCTTTTCCGATCCCGGTTCTCACATCCTCATCTGTGCCGCCACCACCTGTAGTTGAAACGATACTGCCCTTCTCTGCCTAGGTAAGTAGGTAGGTAGGTAGGTAGGTAGGTAGGTAGGTGGGTAGGTAGGTAGGTAGGTAGGTAGGTAGGTAGGTAGGTAGGTAGGTAGGTAGGTAGGTAGGTAGGTAGGTAGGTAGGTAGGTAGGTAGGTAGGCAGGTAGGTAGGTAGGTAGGTAGGTAGGTAGGTAGGTAGGTAGGTAGGTAGGTAGGTAGGTAGGTAGGTAGGTAGGTAGGTAGGTAGGTAGGTAGGTAGGTAGGTAGGTAGGTAGGTAGGTAGGTAGGTAGGTAGGTAGGTAGGTAGGTAGGTAGGTAGGTAGGTAGGTAGGTAGGTAGGTGAGCGACAACTTCATTGAGATTTATCCCCTCCTTGCTGACTTCTATCTGTCGCGATTGATGTTGTTGGTTGGGTATCTTCATCACCTCCCTCTTCTCTACATTCAATCGAAGTCCCGTCTTCGCTGCCTCACCTCTTCTATCAACTTGTTGGATTTTACCTGTAGATCTTCGAGTTTATGTGATATTAGACACAAGTCACCGGCGAAATCCAAATCTCCTTCTGGGGTCTTGTTGTCCGTCCAACAAGCGTATGCCCCTCTTCACTCTCCTCACTGTTTTTCCTCCATGATCCAGTTCAGTCGACCACAATCAGGAAGATCATCGGTGACAGTAGGCAGTCTTGGCTTACTTCTGTCTGTTTTCACTTCAAATGCATCACTGAGCCTCCCACTGTGAATCACTTGGCGTGCGCCATCATTCAGCATATAGCTGTTGAATAAGGTTGATAAAGGTTTCTGGTACTCCATAGTGTTTAGGCAGCTGCCTGACAAATTACTTCTCGGTCGACACTGCCGAAGGTCCTTTCAAAATCGATGGGGTTCAGGTAGAGAGTTGACTGCTATTCTATTCTCTTTTCTATGATGATGTGAAGTGTTTCATTCCCATTTCATCCACACATGATTTGTTCTTCCTGAAGCCAGCCAGCCTGTCAGCCAGCCTGTCAGGTCGTAATTTTGAATCTAGTACATCTTTTAGTCTCTCCAGGATGATGCGATTTAGTATTTTGCTTGCTTGTGGTAGGTAGGAGCATGATTCCATGCCAGTTCTTACAAACACTTAGGTCTCCCTTCTTTGGGAGATTGACAAGGTTGCTCTTCTTCCAGTCAATCGGCAGGTACCTTTCCTTCCTTCCTTCCTTCCAAACTTTCTGTAGTAGTGGTGTGAGCATGTCCGCTGCTGTTGTCTCTGCGTTTGTTTTCTGTGCTTCTGGTAGAATTTCATCTGGTCCTGCTACTTTCTCGGTACTTCAGTATCATAGGAAGTTAAATCACAGTTTACGACAAATGTCTTTTTTTCAATTTAGCACTCACCAGGGGCTGAGATCATTTAGAGAACTTTTGAAAACCTGAAAGGGCTAGACATCTTTTTCGCTCCAGTATCGAACTCTTTAGCAGTTTGCACCCATGATCCCAACAGAGATCGAACATGGGATGATAAAACTAAAACTTAGTGACAAAAAACCTTCATGACAACCAGTTGGAGATGATTTAGTAAAGGCATTCATTAACTCTGTTTACTGTGCTGTTGATGATGGATAAACCTTTGAGGAATTATGTCGAAAATTGCATTGCAGGTTGTGGATAAGATGTGGTAGGGTATGCTATGTAGTTGAAATAGATGAAAATTTTGTTCGGAAACTCATATATAACCTAGAAACATGACATGAACAGGATCAGGTGAGTTATAACTTGCGCAATGTATGTATACACACGTGTGTCTTGACAAACCACAGATTCCAAGTTGTTATTCATCGTAGACTAACACCAGCTGGACGAACAAAGGAAACCTGGGAGCACTGGACAGCTGTTTCGTCCTAGTATGGGACTCAGCAGCGCGCACCCACAACCTTCAGGTTCCGTGGCCAGCACATTGCCATTGAGCCACTGGATCAGAATCCAATGGTCTATATTTCCAACTTCTGTTAGCTCACTGATGTCAGTTTACAATGAATAACAACTTGAAGTATTTCCGAATCCCCACAACTCCCTCAAAACCACAAATTCATGGTATATAAAACCGAAATATGAAGACAGGACATTTTTAAGGGATAAAGGATAGATCAGAAAACTCCTTCCTAACAGTTTTAGAAAAATGTGTGGCACTGGGTACTATAATACACAGAAATGCATTAAAGTCATAAATACCTCTATCTGAAATAGGTTATTCCGATCAAGCTACTGTTCACAAGAAGTACTTCGTTGATCGGACAGCTGGAGTGTATACAACTTTGATAATATGTGGAGTTGTATTCGAAAGTTGTTTACACCTTTAACAGGTTGACGAGGGAAAATTTCCCAAATATCATTTAACTCATATTGTTTCATATGGATTAATGATAATGAAGACAATGGTGTGGTTTTAAAGAGGGTAAACCTATTTAAAATCTAGATATCTTTATTTCTCAAGTAAAAGAGATTTATTAATTGTAAATAAAGTACCATTTACCCTAATAACTACGGTGTCCCTCATATCCTCTATTCTGATTGGACGGGGTATACTTGAACGTGATTGGCCGTCACTAAAATTTAGTTCTACCCTCGGGAACCTTAGGTCCCGGGGTTAGAATGTTACACTTGAGCCACTGGACTGGAATGCCATGGTTCTATTTTCCTACTTCTGTCGGTTTTCACTAGTGACTTTCTTCCAGATGAGATTCCCGAAGTTCTAATGAGTTTTGACTGGTAGGGCGAAACTAAGTCGTACGTGAAGACACACTCATTTATTCAGCAACGGCATTAGATTGAGATCGCGCTACCATTGAGTCGCAACTCAGTGGCTC